TTTTTTTTTTTTTTTTTGGAATTAATTCGCTTCTATACAGAATTACTACACAAAAGCACTGTTGCGTTTAGATCTGAAATTCTTTTTAAAATTCCATGCGGTGAAGAAACCCAGCAATGGCAACTAAGGACCGGCCCGGCTGCTGCAACCCGGTGAAGAAGCCCGGACCGGTCTCAATGGACCACGTTTTATCAGCACTAAGGGAGACTAATGAGGAAAGGGACATTAGAATCAGAAGCCTATTCGGCTTTTTCGATTCGGACAATGCCGGTTACTTGGATTACACGAAAATCGATAAAGGATTATTTGCTATGCAAATTCCAGCTGATTATAAGTTTGCTAAAGAATTGCTAAGGGTGTGTGATAAAGATAAGGATGGGAGGGTGGGTTATCAGGAGTTCAGAAAGTACATGGATGATAAGGAGCTGGAGCTGTATAGGATTTTTCAGGCTATTGATGTGGAGCATAGTGGCTGCATCTTGCCGGAGGAGCTTTGGGATGCCCTTGTTAAAGCTGGTACTTATCATTTCCCTCTTCAATTTCGTTCTCTGAGATTAATCGTACATGTTAATATTGCTCTCTTGTTTACTGGTGTAAATACGTGCTGTGAATGTAGTAGAATTACTTCTGCTGGTTTGTGCAAGGAAACTATGTCTATACCACTGGGGTGACTTAACAATTTGCAATATTGACTGATTCTATTATTTATCTTTATCTTGCATTTTTTTTTTTTTTGCTTTTCATTAAGTTCTTATTGTCTTTTTGTATGTATTTATTCTTTAATTCTTATATTTAGACATGGTTAAACAGCTTAAAGATCTGTACTGATCCTTTCATATTGTTGAAGGGCAAACAAATGTATAGGATGATTCATGTGTTGCCTGCATGTGTCTTTAATCTCTACATCAGAAGTACGAGGCTTTGTACTATTTTAGAATATCAAGTAGGTTGACACTTTGTACTATTTTAGAACTTCAAGTAGGTAATTTTTGTCTGATCAATAGCATTGAGAGTAGATGAGGTGCTTTTTTGAAGGGTTGTATTGCTTGGAGTTCTGAAGGTTTCCTTCCCTATCATAGTGCTAAACTCTGATTTCAATCCTATATTTTCCGTTCAAGTTAGATATAAATGGCGTCCTAGTTCGGCTATTAATAGAACCATCTGAAGTCTGAACTAATGGAAGAATTTGGTACTCCTATAACTCTTTCTGAGTTTAAAAGAGAAAGGAATCAAAAGGAGGATTATCCCTTCCCTCTATTGCAATCCTACATCTGCTTTTCCTAGTTCCCTTCCCAGTCTTGTGAGTTGGAATTGAAGCCTCAATGGCTATTATAATCAAGGAGGGAAAGACAAGAAGCAAAAGATAGCATGGAATGATGGAGAATTGGAGCAAACGTGGTGATGAATTGTAAGGGATTGCAGGTGTTGGGGACTTGCCGGAGGGGTCAAATTTTGTCGACCGGTTATTGTCACCTATTTCCCAGGTCTCCTGATCTCTTGGGATAAGGCTACTATTGCTGTGATGACTAGCGGCACTATTCTGAAGGCTAGCACCATTATCTTGTGATCATTATTGCCAACAGTCATCTCTCTAAAACTTTACATGGTAGCTTCAAAAGTGTATATCATTTGTAGAAGTCCTAAATGGGCTAAACACTTGAAAAGTCTAGCCTTTCATTTTTTTTGCAAGACCACCAACACCATTTTTGGTCCATTGTTTGTAAAGACACCATCCTGAAGGCTAGCCGTTATCTTGTTATCACTAACCGTCATCTCTCTTAAAACTTTATACGGTAGCCTACAAAGTACATTTCATTAGCAGAAATCCTAAATGTATTAAACACTTAGATAAGTACAGCCCATTTTTTTCTTTTTAAAATTATGTTTAATGTTCTTTTGGGACATGGATATCGATCAATTCCTGTATGAAATTAAACCCTGTAATTTAAGGTTATGCAGATGATATTGGGATCAAGTGCAATTAATTTTAAGTTAACTTGCAAAGTAGCTTCTTGTTTCTGATTTCTTTTTGGTGTACCGTTCCCAATTGTACAGAAGATTGAGTTTCTTCCGTGGAGAACCATATCTTGGTGTAGGTTTTCTACTTTTTGATATACGGCTTGTATATGGGGATTTCCTATCATTGATAAAATTATTTACCTTAAAAAAATTTGGGATCGAATGCAGTTGGGTTAGTGGACTTTTGGGGCTAAATTTTGTGTGAGAAGGTGGCTTGACGTGTGAAAGTGGTGATCAATACCTGTAGTATAACACTGATTAAAGTAAATACTTGTACTATAATTTATTTATTTCCTTATTTATGTTTTATTGATTATTTTAACTAAGTTATTTATTTATTTATCTTGTTATGCATTTTTTACTTGGAACAACTACTTTGGGGTGTGTGCGTAAAACTGTTCTTTTCCCGATTTAGTTCTTTCAACTCTTTATTTTTCTTCCGTGCTCTGGTGAAGGAATTGAGTTTAGATGAGGTTTAAGTCTATAGGTACTTAAATTTGTTGTAGTATTGAAACTGAGGCCAGCAAAATTAGGTTTAGGCTTAGTTCCAGCGTTGAGCTGGATACTTTATTCTTATATGTGTAGGGTATAACTAAGTTATTTGTGGGATGCCTTGCTTGCTGTTTCTGAATGTCCGGACTAATTTTGGAGATTGAGACTGATCTTGTACAAGCAGCAGGTAAAGGTGCTTATCAGTGAAGCTTCTCAAACAGCCAGTTCCAAGAAAAATGAAGCTTCTCAAACAGTCTTCCATTCATAGCATTCTCTGCACTCTACCGATTTCTAGCAGATTCAGAATTTTCTTTGTTATGATCAGTTGTGTGTGTGTGTGTGTGTGTTTTTCTTCTTCTTTTTTTCCGGATGAAGAATCAGTTGTATGTTCTTGAGATGCTCTGTCTAGTAATTTATGTTTGCCTTCTTCTTTAGTGATAGAAAAAATATGTGTACTCCTCGTTACAGTGCTAGTTGGCCTTGTGAAGTTTTCTGACTCATAGTATAGAGTTTTTTACTTAATTGTGAAGTTTCACCTGTTATGTAAATGCTCTACATCAGTACTCTTTGTCTGCCTTTTCACTTTTGCTACGTGGTTTGTCGGGTAAATATCTCTTTTAGTTTCATCTACATTGAATAAGATGCCTAAATGGGTTTGGGTTGATTAATTGGATTATGCTTTCTGAATCTACCAAACAAATATTCCATCTTTTTTCGCTAATTTGGTTGCTTTTACAAATATTCATCTCCTCTGGATATATGTTTCTGGGTCATAATTGTTCCCAAGCCTCATTTCCTTTCATTAGTTGTCTTCCTCTTATAAGTTAGGGCAGTTTCCTTTTTGCAGGGATAGAAATAGATGATGATGAACTTGCACGTTTTGTGGAACATGTCGATAAGGATAATAATGGGATTATCACTTTTGAAGAATGGAGAAATTTTCTTCTACTTTATCCACATGAGGTCACGATGGAGAATATTTACCGATACTGGGAGAGGGTATGTCTTGTAGATATTGGTGAACAGGCTGTTATTCCAGAAGGCATCAGTAAGCATGTTCATGCAGCTAAGTATTTGATTGCTGGGGGAGTTGCAGGAGCTGCTTCTCGTACCGCTACAGCTCCCCTTGATCGGCTTAAGGTGGTTTTACAAGTTCAGACTACTCGTGCTTCTATTGGTCCTGCTGTCAAAAACATATGGAAGGAAGGTGGTTTATTGAGTTTTTTTAGGGGCAATGGATTAAATGTGATGAAGGTTGCACCTGAAAGTGCAATCAAGTTTTACACTTACGAAATGTTGAAAAATGTCATTGCTAGTACCAAGGGTGAGGAACAGGGTGACATTGGAGCTTCTGGGCGTCTTGTGGCGGGAGGCTTGGCTGGTGCAGTAGCACAGACTGCTATCTATCCCATGGATCTTGTTAAGACTCGGTTACAAACTCATGCATGTGAAGGTGGAAAGGTTCCCAACCTGGGAAAACTATCAAAAGATATATGGGTTAAGGAGGGGTCTCGGGCCTTTTATAGAGGGCTGATACCATCTCTTCTTGGAATTATACCTTATGCAGGCATTGATTTGGCAGCCTATGAGACATTGAAGGATTTGTCCAAGATATATATTCTTCATGATAGCGGTATAGCTTGTAACTGTTAACTGCTACTCACTTTTCTCCGACAAAATTAAATGGAAAATTTTCTAACAGTTTGATATACAGAACCTGGCCCTCTTGTGCAACTGGGTTGTGGGACAATATCCGGAGCGCTTGGAGCAACGTGTGTTTATCCTTTACAGGTCGTTCGCACGAGGTAGCTCTCTATGTCTAACTGATGCTGCTACCATAAATTTTCGCATTTGTATATACTTCATGTGTTATCATGCAATTTGCCTTTCTATTCACACACAACTTCAATTTTGCTAGAATGCAAGCTCAACCTACAAATGCTGATGCTGCTTACAAAGGAATGTCTGATGTGTTCCGAAGAACACTTCAGCATGAAGGTTTCAGAGGCTTTTACAAAGGACTTTTTCCAAATCTTCTAAAAGTAGTTCCAGCAGCAAGCATTACTTATCTCGTTTATGAATCCATGAAAAAGAGTCTAGAACTCGATTAGGTGATATATTCTTGATTGACTGCTCCACATTTGGAGTTAAATACAGCTGATGCTGAGGACGACGATGATGAAAATGAATTAAGATTTTTTGGCTCATAGGTGCTTTGATTGTCAAAATCACGCACTTCATTTTACCTAACAAAAAAAACAAAACATACACATGGTTGATGCGACATTGGATGTTGAAGAAACTTTAACGAGAGTTTTATTCTTAGCCTGACAGAATAACTATGTTCGTGATTGAGAATGGTCTTCATTTGGTGATTTCTGTCCGAGTTTTGTAGGCATGCCCACTGTAAACTAATGCTAATTTACATACACAATGTAATACTGTAAGGTGTAAACCTTACCATTTTTTCTATATGGATAATTTGCGTGGATGATCGAACTCATTTTGCTCCATTTCCTTCTGTATATAGGCTCGTTTGCCACCTTGGAGCAGATGAAACAGTTACACCAAAATAACAAGCTGCTTACTGTTTTACCAGGATTCATGGTTCGACATTAGATTTCTTGTTCTCGTAAAGTGGGATGGTAAGCAATCTGTTTTTGGGTCAAATACTTGAGTTAATCAAACAGCATGGCATACTTTATGTGCCACTGTATTAAGTAAATAACCAAAGCATATGCAAAAGAAGACAGAGCTATGTATATATGTAGAAGTATAAAGTTAAACGAAATCAAAGGTGAGTAGGAGAGTTGGAAAACAAAATTTATTGTGATAGTATAATATCACAGTTGAAAAGCAAAATTTATTGTCATAGTGCAATATATTTTTCTCATGAAGGTTGTGAGAAGGGTACAATGTAATTCTTTTAAAAAAAAAATTCCCTTTCTGTATCCGACAGGGAAGCAAGAAATACATTTTTTTTCTAGTTTACGCGTTAGCAAATAATGTTTGATCATTTCCTCAGTTTTGCGTCAGAAGCTCATTAAAAGTTTATAACTTTCAGTTTTTTTTTTTTTTAATATTTCAGTTACAGAAGTTAATATTTTAGAACGAAAACATAGGAAGTGAATAATCTAGGGTTGTATTTACGGCTTTGATCTATTAGAATCTTTTATGATATGTTAATATTTAATTGCCAAAAATATTAATTAATGATCAATCCTGCTAAGATTTTGTAAAATTTGTAAATATTGTACTATTATATGTCACTACAAAAAAACAGTCACGGCAGTCAATTAGCGGCGGTCACTCGGTAACTCCCGCAAATTGTATCAAATTGCGGGACTTTCTCTAATCTAATCGATGCAATTAATTATAATTTGTGGATCAGCTGGTACATTAAAAGCAAAAGAGCGCTAAGCTTCTAATTTTTCCCACAATATTTTTGTTTTCCCTCATTTTTTTCTCCGCCAAAATCTTTTAGACTTATTACCCAAAACCTTTAGACCTTCTAATTTTTTTGCCGTCTCTCTCTCTAGTCTCCAAGCGGCAGCCTCTCTCTCACCAAATTGGAGTGTCGTTGCTAGAAAATTCTCGGTGTTCTTCTTCAGATTATTTGCAATTTGTCTTTCATCTTCTCCAATTCTGATTTTATGTAACCAGGTATTTACTATTTTGTAAATTACATGTGGGTTTTCACTTTATTTTTGTGTTATTTTGGGTATTCTCTGTTGGATTTAAGGTTTCTCTATTTATTTGGAGTTTTTTGGTTGATTTGGGGTTTCTATGTTGATTATATGCAATTTATTAGCTTGATTTCTCTATAAACCTAGAATTTTCCGGCATGCAATCTGCTTTATTGCCTCAATATCCTAATGTAATTTTGTTTTCTGTTTCTTCTTTCATGTTCTGTAATGTAAAAAAAATTCACTAAAAAATTGATTTGTCGCTGTGTTTTTCAGTTGTGGTAAGCTTTTTCTCCATTATTTCTTTAATTACTGCACTGGTATCCCTAATTTTTAACCTTCATTTTACTTGATTCTTACATGCATATTTATGGCAGATACCTAGGCACATGTATGTATAATTTTGGTTTTGTGATGATGCTCTGTTCTTTCGATTGGGGAATTATGTGATTTTATTGGTTATTATATATATGAATTGGAGTTAAGGGTTATAACTTGGGGATTTGTCGATTTTCCTATTTTGTGGTTATGATAGGGTTCTTTTACTGATATGATAAAAATCAAAGTAGTAGGCCTTCAATTTAGTTTGATTCACCTCTCTGCCAGTAGGAGGTAATATCTTGTTGTTGAAACATGTTGTCCATAGTATTATCTGTTTCATATCTAGCTGGACTTTATGAATCAATGGTATTGAATATATGAAGAAGATTAAATGTCTTGGGTCCTAAACTGTCTTCCAGCAGCTGTTACATTCTGATTCTTGTTTGTCCCTTGGTACAATAGATGTATTATGGTTAATATGCTATAATTTTAAACAGATACTTACTTATTGTATGATTGTTACTGTGATTGTTTCATTACAACAGATTCACAATGTGAAATTATAACTTGTACACAATCACTGAATAAGTTTGATTGGTTCTAAATCAAAGTAGTAGGCCTTCAATTTAGTTTGATTCACCTCTCTGCATTGAGAGAGACCTCAAACCCAAGGCACCATTAATCTCTCAATTGTTAAAGAAGAAGGCGCAGATGGAAGAAACAGTGCAATACAGTGAACTTTACCCGATAATGAAACCTTTAGTTAATAAGGAACTAGGGAATCATATTAAAAAAGTGTTTACTAAGCGTATCTCTACATAATCAATTAATGTAAGCAGTAAACCTTTTGTCACTCTCCCTGCCTTTCTCCATTGTTTGCATTGTTCGACCATATCTTGTTGGAGCTAGACTTCTTCTGTTAATTCTTGACACAGTAAGCAGAATAAACAAACTTTTCTTTAATATATTTTTGAAGTCAACTTCATTTGCTTATTCAATGCAGTACATGAGTTTTTGATTTTTATTTCAGTTATTTGCTATAGACAAGTAATGAATGGTGTAACGTATCCTAGAAAATGGTAGTGAATATGATAAGATTGGAATTTTAATTTCCTTTGGAGGACAGTACAATGAAGTAGATTTTTTAATAGTAAGACTTGACAATACAATGAAGTAGATTTTATAATTTTATCTTAGTGCTGCTGCTGATCGCCTGATCTTTCATAAACATACTAAGTGTTCCATCATATCATAATAATGGTGGGGATCTGTATGTGCAATGTGTTTTAATGCCACTGAAGTTGTCCTTTGAATATGTACTTAAACTGATGTGCTATCATGTTGAGCTGCTTCTCAACCAGATGTTATAAGGAGAGTAATAAGTTGGTAAATATGGTTATCTTTTATGCTGCTTAACATTACTTTAATGCAAAAGGCTTGATGTAATGTAGTCAATTGAGAAATTAAGTAGCTTGTTGTAGCATTCTCAGTTGGTTTTATCATGCTAGATAATTAGTAGAACATTACCTTTACTTTTTTTTGTCTTATAAAGTGTTAAATATGTCTCTAATCTTAAATATGTCTCTAATCTTAAATATGTCTCTAATCTTAAAGCTTTGACACAGAAAGAAAAATAGGAAAGAACCTCCAACTAGAGATCTTATCAGTATAAAGTTAAAGGCTGCAATATACAACCAAAGAAGGAACAAAGCATGTTTGGGTTAAAGACATAATGATAACTGCTGAAGTTTAGTAACATTTTTTCTTTTGGCTTTTATTTTATTAAAGATTCAGAAGAAAATAGGAAGAGGCTCAAAGTGAAAGTTAGGGATGTTCTAAATTTATCTGGTGAAGAACGTATCGTGCTTGAATTCGATTACCTGGACGAACCATTTGGAGAAGCACAAGGCCTTATTGCTGGCTTTTGTGGAATTTTAGCAACTGATTGCGCCTTATTTCCAATTCACTTTGAGAAATGGCCAGATTTACCTGTATCATACTTTGACCATGTATTTGATCGAATTGTAAAGGTATAAGCTTTAATTCTTTCTGCTACATGTCTATTTTATTGTTGGACTTCATATTTGCATGTAGTAGATAAGCTAACCAATGTTTTATTCTTGAAGAAACGGTTTTGTTTTAAGACAGTCGAGTCAGTTGCACGGCGTTATGTTTATAATTCAATTTGGAAAAAGTGGAGTGCGAATAGGCTAAACTTGTGGAGAGCATTCTATGATCCACTCAAAAGTAAAGCTCAGATTATGGAAAATATTCCGACTGGGATTCCACGGGATCAGTGGACTTCATTTGTTGATTACCGTTTTAAAGAAACAACTTTGGTATTTATTTAATTACTTCAACTTTTATGTTTGATTATATTTAGTTATTTGTGTGATTGACTTTCAAGTATTTTTTTTTTGTAAGGAAATGTGCAGAAGGAATACTGAGATTCGAAAGAAACAAACATCTACACATACAGGTGGCTCCAAACCTAACTCCAGAAGAAGGGCTGAAATGGTGAAAGATGTTAATTCATGTCATTTTACTTTAATTATTAAACTAACTTATGTAACTATTCCAGTTAAGTTATTCTGTTGGTTATTTTATTTATAGATGGCTGAGACTGGACGAAGGCCTGGACGCGCACAGCTTTATCTTGATACTCATAAGAAACAAGATGGAACATATGTGAATGAGGCGGCAAAGGAGATATGTGTAAGTTTCTTCTTTATCTTTGTGATTGTTGAAGGTTATTCCTTTTTGGGGTATGAAATCTAATATATGTATCTGTCTGATTCACTATTAGTTTCAGCTTGTTCCAGACTAGTTATGTATCTTTTTTGATATTTATCAATGGGTTGTAATGTCAAATAAGTCTACAATTTGTTTCTTCCTTTCTTGTTTGAAACATTATCTGCTTTTTCTTGGAAACAACAGTATCTCTGTCCTGATGATGAAGTGGTTTTATTGCAACTATTAATCTAGCTAGTAACACAGGCAATACAATTCCCCCGGAGCTCTATCTTGTCTCGTAATAACTGCTCTCTTTGTTTCGTCGTTCTACGTACAATGGCGATAACACAACAGCTGAAACAAGTGCTAAAATCATTTCTACTCCTATGTGTGAAGAGTACTGGTTTGAACATGTAGCATAACTCTCCATTGTGCAGGAGTTTTGATAAAAAAAAAATTAAAGGTCAGTTTTCTTGTTATTAGGCCAAGAGAACTAACCCTTAATGGGATAAATGATAGCTCAAAGTTTGTAACATTAAGATTTATAGAGGAGCAAGACAAGGTATGAAAGGAATGTAGGTGTAAAGGTGAAACTTTTAGGTGTATTTATACTTTTAAAGTGTCTGGCTTGATGCATTTCAGCAGCTATCTCTTTTTTGCTTGTCTTGGTGTGCATTTAGTTACTTATTAATGTTGTGACAAACAATACATAGGAAAAAATTGAGCTTGCTTTGAGCCAAAGCACGGTGGATGAGTCTGAACTTTCGCCTGGTAAAGTGCTAGGAAAAGAGCACTCTAGAAGGGTAAGGTGCTTAGGATTAGGAGTTGTCCCTAGCAAAGCTTTTAAACATGCAAGACCTCGTTTTGGTGGTATGAATGCTTCAAGTAGTGATGCTTCATGTTTGAACCATTGCCAAGAGAACTACAATAAATTGTTGAATGCTCACAACCAAAGCCAAGAGAACTACAAACAAATGATGAATGCTTTCAAGGCATATAAGATAATGAAAGAAGGGACAATACCGGAGCAATTTGTGGAGTTCTTTGCTTCTCCTCCTACAACAGTAAATAAACTTGTGATTTTTTTTCAACTGATATTATCTGCATCAGGAGCTGCATCAACTGATATTAGCTGACCTGGTGTCAAAAGACACATGCTTTCCTTGTCCGTTCTAGTGGTTTTGGCACTCTGTAAAATCCATGTTTGCTTGTTTACATGATGAACTTGAGCATGATTTTTCTGCTGAATGCAGCACTCCAGAATATGCTCAGAGCACTTCTGTTTTCATTCTTGTTTGGATGGACAATCATATGTTTATGTCCTATCCTGCATCAACGATGTGCTATGAGGTCAAAACAGTATAGTGAAAACAAATAAATTGTTGATCTCTTACACACTTGTAGCTTTTGACAATGTCTCAAGAACGAAGACCCGAGGGAACCTTTTAAGCAGGAAAGAGCTGATATTTGAGCTTCCCTGATAAACTAATTTTCCAACTGTTTATATGTATTGCTGAATTTCTAGTTTCATGTGTGTTAAAATTTTGACTACAGAATAAAGGATGGAATTGGTTCAGATTTTTATTCAAGAAATAGCTTAAGTTATAATTAGCATTTAAAGGATCTTATTGTTTTATTTTGTTTGCTGCCTAGAGATGCAGCTAGTGGACCCCTATCACCCACGGGCGCAAGAAGATCACCTGATGGCAGTAATCCAAGTGACAATAATTGAAGTTTTTTATAATTGAATTAGATAATTGATTATGGCAATGTAATTATGTGATTGGAGCGGATGTTAGAATGGCTAGGGTGAATGTTTTATGTTAAAATTTAGTTTGAAAACTAAGTTCGTTTCGAGCAACTAAATATAGAGGCAGATTGCTATATCGGAGACAGCTCTTCCGACGCTACTGTATGCAGCTAGAAACATTGCTGAATCTGCTTTGAGTTGTTTAGGAATTTTTGCCATCGGAGCATTTTTGTGGCCCCATCATTTATATATGAAAGTAATACTTTTGTGATACTAACTATGTTGTTGATATTTCTAAGTATTATATTATATTCAAAGTTTAGTTTCTAAGTGTTATATTATATCTTTTTTGGTTAGATTATGGTGTGGAAAGGTTCATTAGTAGATAATATTCAAAGTTCAATAATTGTAAAAAATGCAGTAAAAGAAATTAATACGTTCAATGAATTGCATGGGTTTTGACCGCCGTAATTTTTGTATTGCTAAATAATGATTTCCTATGTTGCATAGGTTCAGACTGTCGGAACTTGTAAAATATATAAATTTTTTAATAATTTAATAATCAATTTACGGGGGTTGAACTGCCGCAAATTAACTCCCACTAATTAATTACAGCAGTCGCGGCAGCGGTAGAACTACTGTAAATTGATTGCAGCGAGCCTCCTTGGAGGAGTTTTGTGAACCGCTGCAACAACAAATTACGGAAGTTACCGACTGCCTGCAATTTGTAAAAATAACTGCCGCAATTTGACTGTTTTTTTGCAGTGTGTGTTCTTTCCCCAGACAAAAAAATGAATTACTCCATTTAATTTTGGGGCGTAAAATTTTCTATACTGCTGTCAGTATTTCTCGTTTAGCCGAGGTCTGGGAGCAAAAACACTATAAATAATGTTTTTTTAATAAGCGAGTGATAGGGTGCCCTTTTCTGCTGTAACTCGTTTGTTCTCTCGAATCATATACCTGTGTATTTCAACATGCTAGTGTTACTCATGCGCTCTTGATTTATACAAGTACTGTATTTTTTGCGTAGATATTACTGATATTTCAATAATCTACTTATATTATTCACAGTTCCGGATCTGGGATTTTAATCCTAGGTTTAGGACTTAGGTTTCAACCACTGAAATCATCACCTTGTCTGTCCCTGGAGCTAATACCAATAGACACGTGTTCCAAGAGAATTTGTTCTAATATAGACGATCTTTTTTCACCTGATGTTTTGTTTCTCGAAAAACCATATAATCCTACGCCTTTAATCTCTATTAGTTTAGGTGCTGATAAGTTTTTGTTAGGTGTGTGGGCTGTGGCTAGTGTTTAGGTCTAACACTATTGGTTTCCTGTAACAAATTACTATTCATTCTGCATTTTTATCAAAATGGTGTTGGCCTATGTATTGTATATACACATGTTTTTCGGAATAATTAATATCATTTACGCGCACATATAGAGAAGGTTTAATTTCTACCAGAGAGTGTCTCTGCCAATGTGTTTGATAATATGTGTTATTGATCATACTTGTTAAGTTTCTAACATCATTCGTTAACTGACAGCAACTTGTTACACCTGATCGATATCTCTGCACAAATTAAAATGGTGAGTGAAAAATTGAACCTCATCCTCTTAATACCAATTGCATTAATGCCATTGAACCATATATCATTTGTTCTCCTCAGGTTCTTCCGAATGATATTGATTTGCTTAGCCCTCCTATGCCACGCTGGGGACAAAAACACATAAGCTAAAGTCTGTACTCCAAGGACCTACTTGTTCTGTGGTAATCGTTTGATCCGTTATCACGCCCTTTGTTTTTTTCCTTATCTTCTTTTAACTCTAATGAACTGTTGCAGAGTGTGAATGTCAATACTGCTTCATTATGTAAGTAACAAGAACTTGGTTTATATTATTGTTTATAGGTGTTCTTTTGATTGATAATTAACTACTATTAGTTACTGATTTAATAAGGTACTACTACTAACTTCTTTAAAATTCTTACAGGACTACGAATTTTGGTCGTGCACAACCGTTTGTTCTATGCTCCAGCTGCCAACAACAGACATGTACACCATCATCTACGAGATCGAAGCTTACAGAAGGTTGTTCCTTTAGGGTTAAAAAAGAATGCTAAGATGATCGTTTGCCTGATATTTAGCTATACTTGGTTGAACTACCAAGGTGACATATATACGTACTTAAAGGATGTGTTAGTCAACAGATAAGTTTTCCGTTTACTTTTTTTTTTTTTTTTTGTGAAAACATTATTACTATGAATAGTTTGGCTGTTGTATTAATCTACTGCAAGTTGAAGCGATTAATCTTCTTGGCTTTCGATTTTGTTCCTGTGAAAAGAATAGTCTATACATGGGCGTTAAGTTCTTCGGTCATCCATATATATAATCTGGGAAATAGGGGCTTTCCGTTGACTCTGAATGCGATAACAACAACAACCCAGTGAAATCATACAAGTGGAGTCTGAAGAGGCTAGTGTGTACGCAGACCTTACCCCTACCCGGAGTGGACTCTAAATAGCGTTGTGATTGCACTAAACAAATCCAAGCATGATGTTTTCTATGGTACTGTTAACTGGTACAGAGAAAAATATGAGTAATAACTTGTTGTAGCTAGTTAAGTTGCATTTATAGTGTAAAATTTCTTTCATATTGTCACTACATATAGATTAAATCCTTGATATGGAGCTAGAAAAGTTGGGAGAAAAGGGAAAATAAACACCATTATACTTAATGGACTAGAAAGGTAAGAACACAACTGTATTTCTTAAAAAGAAGGCATTGCCTCCAACACCATTAATAGCAAAGCAACAAACTGAACAAGGACATTGGTTGAACAGTAGTTTAATCAAAAGCTAAATGACTAATAATAGCAAAGCAACAAACTCAAAAGCCAGGCTGATCCATGATATGATGGAGAAGTAATATGAAAATACAATAAGAAAAAGGTAAAATCTGGAAGAAAGGCGTGGCCTTCCCTTTGCCGCTATGACTTGCCTGTTTACCTTGGTATCTGACTCACATCAGATGCACCAAAGGGTGTGACCTAGTGTTCACTGAAAAGTTTTAGTGATCGCCATTTTCATCCTCGAGTACTCCATCAAATACTTCTTTTTCTTCTTTCTCCACATCTTCTTATGCTTCACAGCCTTATAGTGCAACTAATTATAGGAGCTGAGTTGCTGTTTTCTCTTGTCTCTGGAAGTCCTATTATATAACAATCTTGAAAGCCAAGAATTTGTCCACCATATTATCTGTAGACTGTAGCCAAGGGCTAGAAACATAAAGAAATGGCAAATTTTTATGGTCCCCCCTCCTAGCAATATTCTTTTTGTATTAGGTCGTCTTGTGCTTATGTTACTATATTACGGTTTCTACTGGAGTTACTAAAGAATTGTCTTTCCTTATTTTTTATTTCCATCTTTCTGAGCCGAGGGTCTATCGAAAACAGTCTCTCTGCCCTATCGGGGTAAGGGTAAGGTCTGCGTACACATTAATTACCCTCCCCAGACCTCACTTTGTAAGATTTTACTGGGTAGTTGTTGTTGTATTAGGTCGTCCTGCGTATCCACCACTAAGGGTTTATATATTCTCTCTTTGAATTTTTTTGAATTGATACGATAACAACAACAAAGAACAATTATATCTCAATGCCAAGCAAGTTGAAGTCAGCTATATAACATGAGGTCGATTTAGAGGCGGATCTAGGATTTAAATGTGGCGGGTGCCAAAATTTCCTTTAATGTACATCTTATAATAACTATTACTATATAGTTTGTTCGGAACATTTGTACGGTTCATATTTTTTTTAGTTTATTTGGATAATTTAATAAGCACTTTATTTGCAAATATAAAAATTACATCAATTTTCTAGACCCTACTTATGAACTTTCATTGGTTATATATATTATTGTTGTCGCATGAAAATTACATCTCAGAATTAAGAAGCAAATATAATTAACATTTTAAAGAAGGAATCACACTTTTATTATTAATAACACAAGTAAAATCAATATTTTTACTAGGGAACTGCATTTTTTGTATGCTAAAAATAAATTTGCACAAGTAAAATAAAATCTTTAATAAGGGAGCTCTACCGATCAGAATAAGAAAAATAAAAATAAAAATATCTTCAATAGATAAATTATACCCCATAAGTAAATGACAGAATTAGATAAACTACAAGATCTCAAAACTTCAAATCATAAATCTAATGATTGAGAAATATTCATCATAATTTATTACTCAAGAGATTTAAATTGTATTTAACAATCATAGAATAACACAATTTTTTATGTTATAATAAAAAAGAAATAATAAGTTAATTTTGATCTCAATCTAAATATCAAGACCCAAGTTTTTTGATTTTGAAAAACGAAAACAAAAAGATTTGAGATTAAGAGAAATACTTATATTATAAAAATTTTAAACTTTGGAGGCTCTTTTTTGAGTGTTCTTGCTAAATATTAAAGATAAAGTAATAGAATAGAGGGAAAAATAAAAATAATAAACGACAAATAGGAAATTAGGAGGTAGCCTAAAAGGAAAATGACCGAGAGAAAAGAAATAAAAACACAACGAAAAGGGAAAGTCAAACAAGGTTCAAGATAAATTCGAACTTGAATTTTACACACGAAA